AAAGGCTCCTTTTTTAACAGACTTCCAAAAAAAGAGGAGCTACTTAATTCCTAGATATCTTTTCTTCTTTGAATACATAAGCAAATTCTTAGCAAAGTATTAACAACCGTTTAGTACATAACTAGGAAGTCCGGTTAACAACACAAGTATTTTAAAAAGGACCACCTGTGAGATGTCATAAAAAGAAAATAAAATAGGGCCCAGTTTCTATATTTGTTCGTGACAATTCAACCGTATGCTTTGGAATCGCATTTAAAAAAGGAACAAATGAAGTACTACACCTGTCTAGAACGTTCTCAGCTACAAACAGGTCCGCTATAAAACCTCTTTTAATATCAGGTCTCAAAATACGAGACCAAAAATATCCTGTAGCATGTATAGTTAAAGATGGATGCGTTTTTGTAGATGTTAAAGTACATAGATATATTAATTTTACATTAGTCTAGTTGTTATTTCAGTTACTGAGAGCTTGCACTTGCACAGTTGGCGCTTGGCTTAAGCCACTTGGCTTAAAGTATCGCGATTTCGTGAGTTCGATTCCTGCACGGATTCTTTGTGTAACAGAAAATTGTATGACATGCATAGTATAGACAGCTATACTTAAGGATGAAATTATACTAAAAAGTTTTACTTACAAACTTAATACTTCAATGTCATAACATATTCATTCATAACATATTTTATTATCAATGGAATACGTAAGAAAAATAAAACAAAAGGTTGAAAAGAATTTCCGTCAACTTCGAAATATGTTATACTTGTATTTTATCCTTTGTTTCGAAGGCCGAGGTGCTAAAGCCATAAACTTGTTATCGAAGGCTGGGACCCGACCGGACGTCTTAAAAAATCGACGGAACGAACAATGTACTTCCTATGAACAGATAAGGGGTATCTGTTTACCTGGTGCCTTGGTAACACGTAATTAGCGCTTATTAGGGGTAAAAGTTGTAACATAACCTTTATTTATCTCCATCTGTTGAAAATCCATAAAACATTGACGAATAATTGAATTTTTTTAGGACATCTTAAAGGTGGAATCCTATGCCAATCGGAATTTTTACAGGGATATTCTGGGCGTACTTATGAGGCAATAGAGAAAAGGTTGCTTATATGAAAGGGAAAGAATGAAAGAAAGAAAAAAAACCATTTATATATGTAGGTATATTCCATATTATAGGCCGCATCGTCGCTTGTCACCGGATTAGGTATATGGAGACAAAGCACAGACCTATTGCGAAAAAAAAACTGTATTTTCCGCCAATTTATATCAAGAAAGACGATAACTAGTTACTATGAGAATTAAAATAAATGGAACATACATTATATATAATGGAACATATTGTCATTTTCTAAAGTTAAACTACATTTAATATTTGGTCCCATTATGCTTTTTACGAAGCAAAACTTCACAGGAATGTTGTATATTCGAAAAAAGAATCCATCCCCGTACCGCCATCTAGGTCATTGATAAGGAAGTAATACTCCTTGTAGTTCATTTTGTAACATACGTCTTAGGATAACTTTTGTTAAAAAGTAATATAACATAATATCTATAAAAATTACAAATGAATGTGTTGTTTCTATTATACGTTTGACTCCTATTCCAATTTCTTTGAATAGGTACATAATGTAATAATGTAAATAATGTAAAAATATAAAAATAAATATCTTTTTATTTTTCATAACATTGATAAGGATCTCGAATATAGTACTATTCAGTTTTCGTAGTAATAATATTACTGATTATAGAAAAAACACAAATGAATAAAATAAATTACTATTTTTACTGCTATATGTTCCATATCCCCATAGCTATTTGGCATATACACAAATACGATTTACTTTCTGCATTCAAATTTATCAGGTACATAGCGGCAATTTAGTTATTGGGAATCATCCCTAAACAATGTCAAAAAATTTGTAAGAGGTATCAAATATAAGTAGAGCAAAAAAACTTATCTTTTTAATAAAAAATATTTCACCTTAAGTACCTTAAAGAATTTAAAATATAATATTGATTCCTTATAAGTTACTTCAGATTATAATGTTTGATGAATTATTGAGGCTCTTGACCTTATTGTTTTGGAAGGACTAATGACGTCTATCCATAAAAGCAAACTATGTTTTATTTCGACCTTTTTTATTGGTCAATATGTCGATAGAATCATTTTATTTTAAAGTGAAACGACGAATATTATCAGTAATACACTTTTGTTAAAGAGAGTTAATAGAGCTGGATATGAGGGTTGGTGTGTATTAACTTACCCCTAAACCATCAAACAAACAAATCATTTGCTTATGTATTCATTGAAAATGGGCTTTAAAATAATATAAAATACATCTTAAATTCGCTTGGGCTTCTCAGTTAGAATAATACAGTAGAAGTAATTAGTTTAATCGCACTTAAGTTTCAGCTTAAGTTAAAAATCCGAAAACGATCCATCAAAAAACATTATAATTAAAAGCAATAACAAATATTCAGAAGTTATTATCAGTGTTAACATCGAAACATAATATCGAGATTACGATCTCAAATATTTCAAGTTCGAAGAATATCATTCGAATTCAAACGCGGAATTAACGAATGTTTTTGTTCAAAATATTCGACAAAACGATAGCAGATTCAAATTAAAAAAATAATCTATGTATAGACAAACAATAGCAAAATATTTTACCACGAAGAAGTACAGCAAGAAAGCTCCCGCATAAAAGGAAGAAAAAAAACATACAAAAACCGGCTCCTATTTTTAAAAAGTTGCGCGAAATTTCATCCATTTAATAAAATATATTAGATTGAACACTACCTTCGGAGATCAAAGTAAGGTCTCTTGGTCACTATACACACTTCATTGTTTTGTTGTCAAGTTTTAGGGTGCGAGGGCACCAGCACACCCGAGTTGATACCGATACCGAGTCATAAGTATTACTGAAGAGGTTGTGAGACAAGTCGCCTCAGGTACAATTTTCACGTCTCTATTAACCGGTTATTGTGAACAGGTCAGTATTGTGGTAGCGTTGTACGGACGAAGCCACCTACTAGATATGGTAAGGTTGTATCGAAAAGAACATTGTATCACATCGTCCGCTGTGAAAGAAAGAGATGAAAAGTGAATGACTGAACCTTCGCATAGATTAACTATATTTGTGCGTAGACTAGTCAAGAAGTCCTGTCAAAAATTAAGTAAGATAATCGATTCAAATAGATTCTTCGAAGTTTGCTTTAATTAAATATTAGTTTTTATTACTTATTACCTATTTTTATTAATGATCTCTTGTGCTTCAACAATGGCTAAGTTAATCAACAGTTTCTTTTACAATTTTATTAGAAATATAGATATGATTTAGTAATCTATTTTTATAATAAATATACTTTAATATCTTTTCCTGGTGGTCTTGCTTTATTTATTTATTTATTGAAAAAAGGTAGGCTCACAGCTTATATATACAAAGTTCTTAAATGTATTAGATAATAGGTAGTAGATCTTATACATTAGCCAATTACGAGCTAACCAACATTCTTAAAATGAAGCGTTTACACAAAAAAGTGGAAAAATAAAGAAATTGCTTTGTTATGTAAAGAATTAAAAAGTGATCTCCAATAGAGTAATTGATATTTTTGTTTAATAGTCGGCTAAATAAAACATAATTCGTAGAAGGCTCCTTAAATATTTATTTTAAAAACATCTATTATTGAGTGAAATATAAAAGATAGCATCTAATAATATGTAAACATAAAAAACCGGTCTTAATGAAAGGCAGTACCCGTCTGTTATATTGCGACTCTTTGGTCCTGACGTCATTTTGTAAAATGTCAGCAACGCGAACATGTTGCCGTCTCCCTCTAGCGCTGAGCCCCCAGATACGGGACCGTTTCAAGGATACAGTGCACTCCTCAGTTCACTGCTCCCGCTGTTGCGTCGAAGCCTTACTCTGCGCATGAGTGTCCGATCGTTTTTTTTACTTCCCGAACTCGTATAAATAATTTTACTTAGCATTTTTTTTACATTTACATCAGACTTCTTTCGATTGATTAATGTCGTTTAGACTTATTTTTAAAGATTATTATTGAATTCAAGTTTTATGTAATAATAGATATCTAATGATATTTTTAACATGTGTCGTAATTTAAATACAGCAAAAAAGCTTTGTAACTGAAAATAGGATAGGTAAATATTAATTACGCTAAGACTGCGCGGTTGAGTAGCAGGTCCGTCTCCATTAGACCGGTAGCCGACTTCGCTCGGCTCCCACTTTTTTTTTATTAACTTGGACAAGTTTTTGTACGGCCAGCTGATGTTATTAGCGGCGACCGCAATTTATTTTAATGGTCTGTGTAAATATTTGTCCCTATTCATTTAAAAATAGGATATTCATCTATGAATGAAAACTAATTCCCCTATTTTAATAAATCAAAAATGTTGTTCGATTTATTTAAATGCCTTTATAGAAAATATTATTTTTATATTTTAAGAAAAAAAATCTGCGCAAAGTTTGTCCTATTTACGCAGTATCTAAGCAATGGCGACTGCGCAAACGCAAATTTTAATTCCCACACGGAACAAATGTTTGTATTATTTGCACGATTTTGTTCCGGGTTTGACGACTATGTGGGTTTAAAAGGTTTCATAAAAAAAAAACAACAAAAGAAAGGAGTTTTTATGTAGGCAATGTTTTAAGACAAATCAAAGCGTGTGAGGTTGAGGAATTGCGACTTTTTTTAAAATTATTTTTTAAGAATGAGGTGTTTTGATGTTGTAAGGTGGATTATTATGGTGTGAGAATAACATAGGCGATAACGATATCAAACCGCAAGCTAGCATTGGATGTAATAAAACACAATTTGCTGTGGTCTACGACCAACAAATTACGTCTTTTTTATGACGCGCTCAAGACTGAAAATAGAATGGTCTAATGTAACAGAAGGTTTCAAATATTTTTTAATGACATTAATATTTTAAGATCCTAGGTATGTATGTATGTATAATTGGCGGATCATACGTTCAATCTTCAACCTAAAAAAATATGAAAATGGAATCGAATCAAATGGTCTTCAAACGGTTAATAGAGGTATAATATGTAATATACATAATGCTACATTTGTGCTCTAGACTGAATTTCGATTTTCTCCTTCAGAATTCTAGTCCATTTTTCATGTTTTTTTTATATAATAAGTCGTCAAACGAGCATACGGATTACCTGATGGTAAGCAATCAGCGCCGCCCATGGATCCCATGGACCCGCAACGGAGGAGTAACGAGTGCGTTGCCGACACTTTAGGGATTAGGGTTTTGGAGATTTAGGGATTGGGGAAGGGTCGGAGGAGGGGAAGGATTGGGCCTCGCTCACATGGCAAAACACAACGCTGTGGTTGTTTCACGCCGGTTTTCTGTGAGGTCGTGGTATCACACCGGTCGAGTCAACCCATTCGTGCCGAAGCATGACTCTCCCACACTTATAGTTACAAAATACACATAGTGATTGTAGCTATATTTACTATGTATTCGGTCTCTTTGACTTCATACAGCCGCCATTGTTGTCTGTCCACTGTATTCAGATACCATTGATTGTATTACCTTTACCTACTAGATTAGATCAAGTTATATAGGTCACGTTACAATGCATATTTATCAGATTGCTACTTATTCCATAAAAAAAATCATATGTATATTACCTTACATAGTAATGTGAAGCTTTGTAATATTAGTCAGTATTTGATAGTATTAGGAATAGTTAGTGACCGATATTGAAACATGGTTTCAATTCACGACTTAATAAGCCCGCTTCTCATGCATGTGACTTTTTCCGAGTTATATGTACTTTCTATAATTATTTAGACACCACTGACATACGATGAAGGTAAACATCGTGAGGAAACCTGGACTTATAATTTCTAATTATAAGTCTGAAATCGCGAACCTGCATTGAGCAAGCGTGGTGATTAATGCTCTAACCTTCTCCGTATGAGAAGAGGCCTTTGCTCAGCAGAGGGCACTTATAGGCTGATGATGATGATGATGATGATGATGAGTATGAGATTAGTTTATTCATATTCATAGGTATGTATATAGGGTGACTGGTAATTGGTGACCGATATTGAAACACGTGATTCTACTCACGATAACAATCAACAGACTTTCCCAATGGAACTTTTTTCTATACTCATTATTTTTTTTTAGTAATTCGTTCTTTTCACCTGCCATTACTTATAGCGTAGTGTTTACATATTCCTTGCTGGCTATAATTGTTGAGCCTCGAGTGATTGTACCAATTATGTACCTAATTGTGCTTTTTCAAAACAGTACTGACAACAGGGTTTAGAGTGTAAATTTTTACAGTAATATATAGATTAATAATATTGCGCTTTTGACTTATCGATCAAAATCACTATCTTTTTTCTAGAAAACTATAAATAGTATGAATCTCGAAACGATTCTAACCCGAAAAGTTTTAATTAAAGTAATTAATTTTGCCTATAGACCAAAAAGGTACATAGGTATGATATAAAAAATTAAAAGTTTTTTTAATAAAAAAATAAATGTTTACTAAAAATTCAGTATCAGCGCGACAGTCGCCGCGTCGCTTGTCGCGGAATGCTACTCATGAATATAGGCCACTAGCATGGCTTGAAACTAGTCGAGTATCTCGTCAAATTATTACGGGAGCTAGCCGAAAATATAATAATTAAAAGTTTTTTGACAATTTGTGATTAATTGAAGCAACGTTTGCATCGGATAGGTTCTGTTAAGAAGCCTATTAGATAAATAAGATAGGCTATTAAAACTACCTATAGAACAATAGTCCACGTCTAAGGAGTTTATGACCAAGGTATTTGTTCTGAGTCATTTGTGTCTAGGCTAAATTCCAGAAATTGTATTTCAAGATAACCTTTGCCTAGTCAATTTATTTAAGTAATTAGTCTTATACTAATTAAGGTAATAAATTCATATCTGTAGATGTTATGATGCTGCGCAACGCAAAATGCAAACGCAACATTTAATTTATGATTTAGATTTTTACCGCCCCTTTCTTCTTGAGTAAACTTAGTTTTATGTAGGCTTTTGCTTACTATGATTCGAGAATTTGATGGTGTGACCTATTTCACACAAATATTACCCATAATAAATACAAGGATATAATAACAGAAAACTCACTTGGTCCTCCTCTCGATAATCGATGATATTGCTTCTGAAACAGAACAGAAAAATAGAATTAGTTAACTTTTAATTTTACTTTTAATTAGGTAGTATTAATGTAATTATGTATTTAATAATTTAGCTTTATTTGAAAATTATTATATTTATATTTACTAAAGTTTAAGATCATTCTATTTCACATATCTTTTTAGGAATTGCTTGTTATAATAACTGTCTGTCAAATCAAATTATGATTGTTGATTCATCAAGAAGGCAATTTATTCTAGTACATCGCTACGAAAGTTTCTCTGATCTTTCAAAAGACTAGTCGAAATCGTTTTTAAACTTGTCGCAAAATCAGACATCTTTTTTACATCGCCTTGCCTTTCACATCATATCACAGATATAAATAAGTGCATAAAATGCCGTAACATTGAACACCCATTTCTAACGAGTATTGTTATAAGGACGAGATGTAAAATGATGACCCTATCTACCGGGCACCATACCAAACACATTTTCGATAAACCATTAATTAACTCTACAGTGCAAGATCATGAACTCCGCGCCTTCGTCAAGGCGATGTAATAATTTATTAATAATTTGATAATAATCTTTTCTTGAAGCATTGTTTTGACTACTCAGTCTTGAGTAAAACCCATGCTTAGCCTAGCCCATGCGTGAAAGTTGTTAACGCTGTTTTCGTGCAGCGCCATAGACAGAACCTATTTTGTCTGAGTAAGAATTCGTTCGTGCCTTGTTCCCTCGTAACGTTGAAAAATATGGAAGGATCTGCATTACTGCTTACAACGTCATGTGATGGAAATTGCCACTAAACAAAAGATAAACTAGAAGAGTTTCTTATTCAACTCACGTAATTAAATCTTTATTGTCAATTGAATAACTTAAGAAGTTTTTTCAAAAACTTTACTGAACTGTATATAGCAGCGATCAAGAATATAAACATAAGAACATAATATACGGAAGATAAAATTAAAAAAATAAGTGAAATGTAGGCTTCAGTCACATATTATGTAATATACCATTACAAATTATTTGAAACGGTAACACATATTAAAAGGATTTTTTATTCCATTTAATATGTGTAAATTAAATAGTCCTAGGGCTTTTGTCATTCCCACTTTAGCCAGCAGTTACAGCCACCAAGGTTTTACAGAAAATCCCAAAAATGCCCAATAATGCTTCCTGGGAATCAAACCTGAGACTACTAGCATTCTACCAATAATAAAACTTTTCCAATGACGAAAGAAGATTAATATGTTTTGTTTGAATTATAATCAGATTTTTAAGTTATTATTCAATTTGAGGGATCTGTATCATATTCAATTGTCAATACAGGTACAAATAAATATTGTTTGTTTAAAATACACGAATGTAAAAAGTCAAGTTTTTCATCACTGTTCAATGTTTATCAAGGCCACGGCTTAACATATCTGTTTTTGCATTCAACTACAGAAATAGCATCATTTAAATGTATTAAAATGCCTTACCTGGAACGAATCTTCTTAATAACAGGTCGCTGCGCCGTACTATCATGGATTCTGACTTGCGTTGGATCTATTTCTTCACACGCGTCGTCGTCAAATGGAAGCTGTCCGGTTCTCCTAGCTAGTATTGAATCCATAAATGGACTGTATATTTGACCAGAAGTCCCAAGGATATCATCTATATCTGTATAACGTGAGATATATTTATTTACACCTTTCTGGAAAGAGTTTGAAGGTCTTCTAAATTGACGATTATTTTCGTAAGGAGACGTGCGTCCTCGGTAGTCCTCATTTTCTTTTGGTGTTTCTAAGCCTTCAGGGCTTCTTCTAGCTCCTAATGGCTCATCGTCTGGTAAATGAAGTGGGAATGGAGGTATATGTGCAGGTGGAACATAAACTTGGACTTCAGAATCGGATGAGTCGCTTTCATCGGGTGGTGGAGGAGTAGGCAACTTTTCAATGCCTTCTGGAATGTTCTTATTGCTACCCAGCCACCAAGGCCTCTCTCCAGATTCTATATGTCGTATCCGCCTTAATGGAAAGCTGCGTTCTGAACCAGATTTACTCAGCATTACGTTTTGGTCAGGTTTACTACCATTCGTCGAATTTTCATTACTAGTGACCCACCAGTCCTTTTGATCCCCAGACTCTATATGACGAACTTTGAAAAAGTTAAATTTTTCACTTTTCTCGCTATCACTTGATGATTTTCTTGGAGGACTTAGTCGTTCAATACCCTCAGGAATATTAGCACAGCTATCCAACCACCATGGTTTTTCATCATCAACAAATTTACATTTCTTGATAATTTTGTTTGAATCAGAACTATCTGATGTATTAATACGAGGTGCTTGGTTATCATGTTTACTTTCACTGTTAGAATCAAGCCACCAGGCCTTTTCCCCAGATTCAACGTGTGTTATTTTTCTAGGAAGGTTTATCTCTGAAGGAGATCTTTGGCTTTCGCTATTTTGTAAACTGTTTTTCTTTTCCGATTCAGAATCTAACCACCAAGCTCTTTCCCCGGATTCAATAGGCCGTATTGCTTTTAGTTTAACTAAATTGTCGTCATTAGATGCAATTATATTATTTGTATCATTTTTACTTTTACTTGATCTGTCACTTTCAGTGGTAAGATTAGATACATCTTTCCCAGTTGATTCTGAAGTAGAATTTTCTAACCAACGACTATTATCACTGCTTTCTTGATGTCTCATTTTAAATAAATTCGTAACAGGCGCCAGTGCTCGTATTAAGAACGATTTAGCTTCTTCCGTACCGGTTTCATTCCTTGGAGGAGAAGTAGGTGATGGTTGTTTACCCGATCGATCAGTCGGTATTGATAACTCATCTGCAGAAGTTCTCGATAACTCATTCGTTTTGGACTTTGATACAGTTTCATCTTCACTAATTGATGACTGTGTTGATAACGTTATACTCGATTCAGGACTAGCACTTTCTCTTGATTTGGAATGTTTCAATTTGGAAGGTCCATTTTGTAAGTTACTACTCGACGAATTCTTGTGCAAGCTCTTAGGGGGTGAACCTTTGTCACTAACTTCACTTCCTTGGTCTGAATCGGTAGAACTCACTGATTTACTTCTTCTCTTAATTATTTTCTTTTTGCCGCCCGAATCTGATGATGAGTCGGTACTAGTTTTCTTTACTTTAATTTTTTTTGTCTTTGTAGTTCCATCTGGTTTAGGTGCTTGTGGTGGTAATTGACTATTTGTGATCGTGATTTCAGGTGATACTAATTCGGTGGAAGCTATTGGGCTTTTCGCTCTTTTCAATTTAAGATTTACATTAATTATAATCTCTGACGTATCATCACCTTTGTTTTGTTCAGAAGCATAAACCGATAAAACCTCTTGATCATTGTCAGCTATATGATTACTCATGTTAGTATCGATGTTGTTATACTCGGTAAAAGAATTGCAGTTAGAATTTTCTCTTTTATCTGGCTCTGTACTTTGACTTCGACCAGTTCGTTCACTAGCGGAATAGGAATTGCTGCCAGAACTCTCTCTCAGATTCGAATATTGTGTAGAGTATCTACCAGCATATCCCGTATAGCTACTGGAGTTTGGTGTGTAATAGGACCAGTTAGTAACACTTGTTCTTGCTGTGCTACCAAATCTACTTGAACGTGTAGGATCGTCTAATCTATCTGATTGAATTTCCTTATCAACCATCTCAGGCCTCTTTTTACGTCTCGTTATTGATTTTTCAATGGTTTTAGCCATGTCTGCTCGTCGACTTCGGACATATGCTGAGGAACCAGGTGGAGTAGGTGATGTATGACGTGTTACTATAGTAACTGTTTCAGTCTCATTTTCGTTATATTCGGGTTCTACCTCTTTGCAATTTAAAACTTCATTATTTTCATTTACGGGCTCGTTTTGTGATTTTATTTCTTCTACTATAGGTTGCTGCGGCGTACTCTTTTCTGACTCATTTTTAACCGACTCTGTGTGATTTACTGGAGAAACGGAAGTACGTTTTACTGTTGGTGGACTTCTTAAATAGTTTGTGGAAAGTCTATTTGATATAGCATATCTGTTTACAGTGATTTCTGGTTTAACTTCTGCCCTTGAAGCAGGTCGTGTGTAATTTGAAGTTCGAGGGTATAACTTGTAACTCGACAGGCTGTTATAGCCTGTAGACTTGTCAGTCTTACTTGGAATGTCTTTGTCGTGATCCCCAGGACTGGGATCTCGGCTTTTATCTTTGTAAGTTTTCGTTGTTCTCCGTTCTGGGCTCAAGTGCCGAGAAGGTCGGGTCAGACTGTATTTCGATGTCGAAACAGGACTTACGTCTCTACTTTTGTTGGTGCTTATCGATGGAACTGTAAGTTTGGAATAATCTTTTTTCTCATATTTAGACGTCGGTTCTTTTGTTTTACTTGTACCATACGTGTCATATTTGGAAGCAGGTTTCTCAGTTTTTGTTGAATTGTACGTATCATATTTAGATAATGGTTTTTCTGTTTTACTGGTACTATAGGTGTCATATTTCATTGTCGGTTTATCCGTCTTGTTGGTACTACTATAGGCTTCATATTTTGTTGTGGGCTTTTCCGTCTTACTCGTGTTGTAGGCATCATATTTGGTGGGTTGTTTTTCTGATTTACCATAGTTTGCGTATCGGTTAGCTATAGCTGATATTGGTGTTTCTTCTTTAGCTGATCGTTCCGGGCACAATATGGGGATGCTCGATGACTTATAAGAAGGCGTTGTGTTGAGGTATTTCGCTGTGACTGTTGTCGGTCGTTCCGCGGCGGTGCTTGTGGAACTCCGGCCGGTATCTCGGCTCCGGCCGTATGATGGCGTATCATACTGAAAGTAAAAACATTAAACATTATTCTAGTCCGTTTCCCTTGATCGTTGTTAGATAAATATATTTATCGTATTTGCACATCAGGCGTAGAGCAGTTTGTACACTGTGCCCCGCTCTAAAGCAACATGAGATCCATATTCTTCGTTCAACACTATCATATAAAGCCGTTCCTTTCACCGTTTTATAAATAGCGAAGGGAATGCGTGTATGTGTATACACGTGAAGATTATATACAGGAGGGATTTTATTGAGCCCTTCGTTATTCACTATATTCAAGATCTCGGAACTGATTAATCATAGGCTGAAGAATGGAATCTGCAGACAGTTTATTTGTGTCGATATCAAGAAAATTTCTAGAAATAGGTAGGTGGGACATTAACCCTATGTAGGTAAGTCTAGCCACAAAATGCTTATACATATCATATATGTATGGAATTTAAAACTCTTTTAGTATAAAGCAGAACAGAAATGTTCGAATTAGATATTTTAAACATATTTATCTGTCTTTCTCCAAAGCGGTTGTGACAATAAATTAATTGAACAGATACTAGTATATTTCCGTAGTTGTATTAATAGGAAAATATAAAAGACAGGTTTTATAAAACAAAACAAGTTGTTCTGAGCATCTCCTTTCGCGCCCTTCATTACAATTATCGTTAACGTCTAGCACGCCAACTCACTTGCGCCGGCGCATGTCGCGGGCTTTGCAAATAAACGATTAACATGTTGCGTATCATATTATTAGGTTGCTCGGATGGAAAAATGGCGATACAATTTTAATTGAGCGAAGTTTTAGTAGATAGATTAATGGTTTTGTTATGTTAGTACGTCTGGACACTTTGTGTGTCGTCAAATTTATTAATGCTGACTAATTGAATTGTTTTGTTCATTTCTTAATCAATGATCTTGATGTAATTATTGTTAATATTTTGGTGAACTACTTTTAAAGCTGAACTTTTCAATCTCAAAACTCTAAATTTCGTGAACACTTATTTTCTAATCTGGCAATTAAATTAAAGAAGTTGTACTTCGGAGTATCAGCTTAAGATGTTTGACATTCGTAATGATTCTCTAAATCTTTACTAATAAAATAGATCTCTTTTATCTGTTTGTTCCTACGATCTCTAATAATCATACTGTGGTAGAGCAGAGAAAAGTTATAAGCTGTTAAATAACAAACTACGACACTAAGAAACGTAGTACACGAGTGAAATCGCGGGGCAAGTCTAGCTAAGAAATAAAATACGACAGGCACAGAGTCTCTGTCACTAATCTATTTTTGTAATCTAATAATTTCTCGACTTGGCTGCCTTGTTGTTTGTTGATAAAATTGACTGCTGAGCTTAAGTTTATACTGGGTTCGATGCATCGGGACTCAAGAATATTGTTATCGACAATTGTTTTTTTTTAAGTTTTATAATAATTCTATCGAATAATTGAGATTTTGAAGGTTCGCAGATACGATCTATTTATGAAGTAAACAGTAACCATACTCTTATTTAACTATTTGAGAAATGCGTTCTAGATAATATTTTATGCCAGATGTTTAAGAAAATGAATATTTATTTTACATTAAATTCAAGATACTTTATAGTTTATAATGTTGTTGGTTATCTATTGAAATAGTATTTGTATTTTTCAATTAGAGTACCTAGCGTAAGTTAGCTTTATAATAACTCGATCAATACGTCACATTCATTCGCATTTAGCCTTCTGATTGGTTAATTAACTCGGAGCAAGCCAATCAGAGCCTCGAACGTCATAATTGTGTCGATCGCATCGATGTAAATCAAACTCGCAATAAACAGTCAGTTTTGTAATGAAAATTGAAAAAAGGAATGGCAAATAGTTCATTTTTAAACTTTTCGGAAATAATTTAAACGTTTTTAATTTAATACTTACATAGTTTCGAAAAGACATGTTGCCAAAACATCAGCTTTCTTCCATTAGGTGGCGCGTAAAGTGGATCCAACTCGAGTGAATTCTGTAACGAAATTAATAAATATTTTAGTATGTTTGTTTGTTTGTTCTACTACTGTTTAACTTCCAACATTGAGATTTGAATAAAGCAAGTGAAGTTAGAGTAGATTTCGTAAAGGGACAATAGTAAATTGTATAGATAATGTTTTATAACAAAATGGGGTTAATAGATTCTCTCATTACTACATGATGGGACTTATTACATGCCTGATTAATGTCTGTGTTCTTCAGGGACTAGAAAGCGTGGTGTACAGATATATGTGTTAAGTTTGAGTATACCCGTCAGCTGAGGTTGCCGGTGCAAGCGAAATAATGCCCAAGCCGAGTAGTTTTTTTATGTAATATGTCGGCAAACGAGCATACGGATTACTTGATGGTAAGCAATCAGCGTCGCTCATGGACACCCGCAGCGGAGGAGTTACGAGTGCGTTGCCGACCTTTTAGGGATTAGGGTTTTGGAGATCAAAGGATTGGGAAGGGGTCGGGGAGGGGAAAGATTGGGCCTCCGGTAACCTCACTCACACGGCGAAACACAACGCTGTAATTATTTCACGCCGGTTTTCTGTGAGGCCGTGGTATCACTCCATAGATGAAAGAACAAGCGGTTTAGCCAGCAATCAAATATCACTGACCCTCACTCAGTCCGGGAGAAGAAATTTGATGGTTACTCCTCCAAAAAGTATAACCGTTACTTTAATACAATCACAAGCAGTTCTTAAGGTTCACAATAAATTCATACCACTAGAGAGTATTGTTCAAATCAATGCCTAAAAAAAAGAATTCTAAGCATTTTTTAGGCGATTCATAAGTCCGGGTTGCGGGGTAAGCGCAATGAGGCACCGCGACCTCGGCCTAGAGCAGGAATAGGAACAGGGGGGTTTTTAGTCAGTAAGAGTTTGACACTCCCTCCCGCCCCACCCTGGGCGGGAGAAGACATTTGATGACTTTCCACTCACAAAAAAAAGGTGATTCATAAGTCCAACTAACAGTACTAGGAATATTTGTAAAGATTGCACCAATATTTATGATTGCAACATATTTTTGGTGTCACACTCTCCTAAAATAGAATAGTTAGCGGTTATTTTTAGACCAGTAAGTATAGCCACTTTTCGTGGGTGATGTTGGCAATGAAGGGTTGAATCAATTAGGTGGCCAATACCAACGGCTATGAGTAGTATAACGAGTAAATACCCATTAAATATTTTATGTTACGTGTGGTTGTAAATTGCATGCGTGAATACAGAACACATTATGTATGACTGTTAGAGTGTATGAAACATGAATTATCAACCCGTAATAACAAACTAACAACCTCATCCTTATTTGTTTTAGAGTTTTTTTTAAAAAAAAAACATTTCCCCACACTAGGATTTTCTCCTGTGTTGTGGGTGCGTTTACAAACATACAATTTCACATGCACATCACACCACACATGTTGTTCCGTACGGGAATCGAACCCGCGACACGTTGCGCTGCAGCCACTTGCCCAGCCACCGCGCCAACCGTGCAGTCTAATTATCAAAAATGTATCTATTATTTCAATTAATCCTTCTTCTCACCCTTATCTCCCAAATCCCTAAATCTCCAAAGGCCGACAACGCACTCGTAACTCCTCTATTGTTGCGGATGTCCATGGGTGGCACCGATTGCTTACCATCAGGTAATCCGACTGCTCATTTGCCGTCCGAACACATAAAACAAAATCTGTAGTCACTCTTCCCAGACGCATAAATTTTATCGTGGATTTTAATTAGCCAAAGAAAGTTTGTAACGGGTATCGATTTGGTTAAGTCTTATTCTAAACACGAGGCTATCAGACATTTCTTAATTTACGGGAGTGTAGTAACGGCCTCTGTTAATGAAATGTACATAGATGGCGTTTTCCTATTTCACAGCGAAGCAATAAGTTTAATTTTACGATTAGAGTAAAGTCGGGTATCCACGGTCGGCCGTGTGTGTACGCAAACGTATCCTCACAACATTCTGAATATCTCAACTAAAGCAAGTTTAATATCCGCATGGGAGACGGTAAGGCACTTAGAAAGGCTCCGGGCTAGATACATACTAATAGATGTATAATTTAATTTAGTTTATTTATATAACACTGGACACATCTGCACTTCTACAGAATGGCTTAAGCTAATATTGGGAAAAAATACTTCTATAGATGTAAACACAAAACTAGAAATTGAGTAAAATACAAAATCTGTTTACGAGTTCAAGGGCTGATTTCCAATGGTTTGTTAAAAGTTATCTGTGGAATAATTATGATGCTGTCGCGTTAGAATGTTTGTATAAGACAGTGACAGCAACAATTTTACTTCACAGGTAACATATATGTGACTATTGAAAAATCAGCCCTAAGACTGTTACAGATTTATAGCTCACCATATTTGGCTAAGACAATTTGTATTGTTTAATTTAACATTCATTTAGTGTCTAACTATTCTGTAAATAGACAACGTCCCTTGTACACTGAGGAACAAAACGTCATTGGTGATCCCACGCAGCCACGTGTAAACGTCAAAGCAATAAGAACACATTGAGATCCTTTGCGCAAACGCATCGAACAACAGAGCCATTCTATACACGTCCGCGTAAGAAATACCAGTTTCTTTTTAGTTTGAAAATAGAAACGTTTTTAGTTTCCGGACTGACCTATATCGATTGAGTCAATGAACAAAAGATGGATGGTCAAGTTCCTACCGTGTTCATCCAAAGCGATTTTCAACTTTATGCCCCTCTCAGATAGTTTATATTCGGTTTAGTATATTTCCTAATTATTCCGGTCCATGTTCGCCTCTGTACAAAGATACAGATCTTACTGGCAGATGCTGCGATTAGACTTGTTTTTATTTACGTTCCGAATTGTCGTGTGTTGCTCTGAAACTAATTGCGGATAGTGAAATATGTGGACTTTCGCGAAATAGATCGATTTTCTTAGTAGCTATTTGTTTATTTTTGTTCAACAGGTGTTTTGTTTGAATCGATCTGATTCTTTGAAGACTTTTCACAAATAACGCAGTTGAGTAGCACACAAACTTGGTAACACAGTATTGTGAGATATTGGTTCTTTAAATATTTAAAAATATATTCGGATTGTACTGGTCCAAATCCAAGTAGAACATGGCATTCATGTACACGTGATTATCGTATTGAGTTAATCATTTAGTCACAAACATTTATAAGAACCTTCTTTATATTATAATTGTAGATAGATAACAGACATATTTGTTTATCCAGGTAAAGTACATTGATTGTCCTCTACAATTTGTTCTAGGTATGTTATACTCATGCTTTAAAATTATGCTGCAGTAAATAAAAGTTGAAAAGAAATAATTTTTACTTTGATATAGCGATACTTTGATTACCAAACTACTCAACTCCACGTTTCATAAAATAACAGATAACTCCTAAAACACTATAAAAAATAAGAAGTTAGGTTAGTTATCTATCTTTCTATCTAACTAACTTTAGGTATTTAGATTCCTGTATAAGTAGTCTACAAGAAATAATATAGACTTTTAAGTGTCTCCTAAAAAAATTGCTAATAAGGGATTAGCTAATTTGACAATCACGTTTTCAATACAGTTTTTTTTTATTTGAGTGAGCATTGTAAAGGTGTTTCTATCATATTTCTTTCTCTCCACAACACTTAACCCGGTTTGCGTAGCAATTTGTAAACAACTTAGTTCTCCCCACAAGGTAAATACTATCTAGATTAAAATAACTTCCAGTTTTACAACTAAGTATATTTCCAACGTTTATGTAGTTGCTTAGGGAATGTCTTAAAATAATACTAAAAGTTAATGCATTTCCTGGATGATTATTTATCGTAAAATGTATGTGAAATTTTCCTATTTATTGGTTGTAAATGACTGATTTATAGTCGCATTCCTACTTGCATATGGAACTGAAAGTGGTTACTTGGCTTAAGCATTCGTAATTTCGTTATTGTCGAGTTTTTTATGTGATAATTCGGCAAACGAGCAGACAATACGGTAGTTTGCAAATGTCAAACACGATACTTTTCTATGAAATTTGTATGATGAACTGAGTTATGACGTCGTAACATTTTTGTGTCAAAAAGCTGTTTAAGAATTTATTAACTAAATTATTTGCCCTATTATTTCTTCTGATTTTGGCTGAATCGCAGTTAATTATAGTGCAAGCTTGCATCAGCAACCGCTTCCAATCGTGCTCGCCGTCTTCGGCTCTTGTGGGCCCCATCTGGTATGATGACTCTTGAGGCGCACGCGAAACGTGACGCAACCCTACTCTGTAATCTGGTCGGATGGCGAGCTACCCATGCTTTTTTTTAAAGCACAAATAGAGAAATTGGAGCAATCTCAGTAATTTATAGGAAGATCTTTTTTAAAACTAAAGTATTTAATGTGGTGTATTATGTTTTATATATTGGTTTATTCAACACTGATTTTATAAATAGTTAGTCCAGTGCTGGAGACTCTAGGTCTGTAGGAGTATTTACAATAATATCCACGCTTTGATTACGAACTGTAAACCGTAAATTTCTGTAAATCGTTTGCTACTAGCCTCCACAATAATTGTACATTGGAATAAGAAAATGTTACATAGATTTCCTATTCACAAATATATGAGATAGGATAGCAGTACGGCTTGACTCTGTACCTCAGATAACAATAAAATGAAGCTTGGACAACCGCCATCGCTACTTAAAAAAAAAGCGATTTGTTTGTATGATGTCTGATTACGTTGTAATGGCGGAATATGAGAACCGCTGGTGATTGTGGAAAATTGTTAGTTCCATTACGTGGATTTCTACATATTATGAATGTATGTATGTATGTATACGCACGTACATAATTAAGTTGGTTATTATCGAAAGTAATTTGTTACCTTTAATAGATGACTAACTTCAATAACGGAAAAGGGTGCTGTTACTTATTATGTTTTCGGCTTACTCACGTAATAAAATTTGACGAGATCCTCGACTAGTTTATTCGAGTAAACAATCGCCGCGTC